TTACTTAGGTAATTTACTAATGAGTAGATTTTCTGGGGGAAGGATTTCTTACTGTTTTCCCTCAACACAGGCCCACATTGATTGGAAATTTAAGTGTTCTAGAAATAAGTTTGAATTTAATTGCAGTGGCCTTTCAAAAGGTACCTGTGTACTTTTCATGGCTTCCCACCTAGGCACACAAATAAGCAGTTCTTCTGAACCCTGAGAGTAGGGATAATCTTTCCCAATGCTTGGAGAAGATAAAAAAACTCAGCCAACAGGGGTGTAAGTGGAAAGTGCTTGATCTGTTTTGGTATTTGATAAGCACAACCCTTTCAAAACCATGGCTTAAAACTAAATTACCCAGTGCAAATCAATAAAGCAAGGAGGTTATACTTGTATCTACTGACTGCTGCATCTCTACCCTCCCTACAAAACTCCCCTTTCTGTCCTCCTGCCACCCCCAGCAACTGCCAGCAAAGGAGTACCCTTGGTTAAGTTTCGCCCTTTCTAGACTCCACCTCTCTAGCAAACCTGCAAGGGCTGCCTGCTCTCTGTATAATTAATCTCAGGCTCTATATGAGGTTTCTTGCCTCCTTGGGTCAAGCCCTGGCCATTAAAGGGACTTTTTTTTTTTTTTGTCTCACGTACTATTATTTTATAACCTTTTGCCTTATGCCCAGACTGATTTAGCAAGGTCACACTGGATTCTTAAGTTCAGTAATTCCAACCATGTCATTTCAGACCCATCAGATTTGGGATTGCTGCCACCTGCATAACTTCCCACTTGCCTTCTATCCTTTCAGACTTATTATTTTGCTTTCACATTCAAACATCCCCACTGGCCTTTCAGCAAGAACCTGAGTCCCCTAGAAAATTCGCCTCAGTGACTGGTATCATATCAGTGATTTTTCCCTGCTTGGTGAGTCATTTCTTCAAGATTTTGTGCTGTCCCACCAATGATAACTAGTGCTGAGCATCAGGAAAATGATGTTCCCAAGAAACTGGTCTGCTCACTGATCTCATTTTAGCTTTGGAGCACAAGTTAATGTGAGATTACCTAGTTAAATAGCAAAAAAAAAAAAAAAAAAAAAAAAACCAACTGCATGCGTTGAAACAAAATAGGAACACTCAGAGAAGATAGTTAAAATCACTCTATAATTCACTGCAGAACTATTGACTGTAGCTAAACTATGGAAACAACCTAAGTGCCCCAAAACAGATGAGTGGATCAGGAAGATGTGGTATATATGCCACATGATGGAGCTGGAAGGGATTATACTAGTACACAGACCATAGGTAAGTCAGAAGAAGAAAGACAAATACCAGATGTGTCGCTTACATGTACACTGTAGAGAGACCCAACAAAGGGTCATATAAAGCCAAACTAACCACAAACCATACTGACTAGAGAAGTGAGGCTACCAGAGGGCGAGAAGGAGGAGTGAGAACAAAGTGGAGAGGGACCAAGACAGATTATGGGGGATGGACCGTGGGTGCTTTGGTGGTGGATATGGATACTCAGAGGAGGAGACCCTATACCCCCAAAACATGTAAACCAATGTTACCTCAGTTCCAAAAAAAAAAGTAAGATAAAATCACTACAAAGTTTCCATTTGAGAGCTCTTTGAAACATTGGTTTCAAAGCCTTGCAAAGAATTTACAAATGAAATTTGTGAGATTTTTTTTTAAATTAGTGATGATAAAGACTTCAATAAAGAGCATATTAACCAAGAAGACAGAGCTGCAGATATGAAGTGAAGTTTTACAAACAGCTACTTCCATGTTTTTCTTTAGAATGCATGACTCTCCCCAGTAGTTTAATAATAAAACAAGATGATGAAGAAATAGTCAATGGCGGTGGAGTGGGGCAGCAGAAAGGCCACTGCACCGAAACCTGAGCCCTGGAAGAGAGGGGTGGTGGTGGGGGGGGCACAATTCTGATTTGATGAGAGCCTCACTTAATCTTGCTGTGTTTTCATTCCCCATGGATGACAACAGATGGGTGTGTCTTGCCTCCCAGATAAGAGTAAAGTAAAACAGACACGAAAAATCAGGAATGATAGATAATGTGATGTGGTAATATTACTCCCTAAATTCTGGGATATGCTATTTTCAGTTCAAGCCCGAACACGTGTGAATCAACAATAAAGCAATTAAATTAATGTGAAAAAGCTCTGGATGGATTTTTTCCCAGCTTTGCCTAAAGTCACCTACAAGGGGTATGGAGACTTTGGGTTCATTCCAAAGTAACTTATAACATTCAAAATAGCTAGTAAACTAGTACCAAAAATAGTACCACAATACACATCTTCATTCTTTACCCACAGTAATTCGAGTTTCTTCATCCCATATATCACCCAGGTATGCACAGGAAACTAACTGAAGAACATTAAAAAATAATTCGACATGGATAGTCAAGGTCAATTTAGCAAAGCAGGATATACCTGACCCAAGAGCTGTGGGCTTTACACAAGGGGCCCAGCTTACTCAGATACCAGGGGAGAGAGGATGGGAGGAAGAGACAGGACGAAAAGGAATTGAGGACTCTCTATAAGAAAGGCAATATTCATCTTAATTTTTTGACTCGGTCTTTCATTAAACAAAAGAACATTATATTGTTACAGAGAGGAAGGAAGCTCCATAAAAGGGGGAGCTTCCGTGTTCCCTGCCCATCTAATGACGGTTAGAGCTGAGCTGCCAGGTGAAGATTTAGAGAATACCAGGAGGACAGAGGGGGACATGGAGGAGACACATGGAGAGACATTTGAGGGAAAAGGGTGCGTTTCCTTATTTGCACCAGGGACTTGGAGGAGAAACGTAGAGTTGAGAGAAATAGAGACACCTGGAAGAGACATAGGTGAGAGCCTTGTGGGGAGGCTGACAATGAGAGCCATTACTTTGATTTGTACTTTCATTTTGCTTCTTTCATCCCAGACTTTCTGCTTTTTACCCTTTCTGCTTCTTTTCTGTGGGTCCCTGCCAGAAGGTGTCTAAAACTTGTGGCAACCTTTCAGGCCTCGGCAGCCCCACTTTGGGCCAATCCTGTTTGTCTGGGCATTTGAGAATTTATTTATTTATACGAGAACTGGGGTACAGTCAGAGGGCACGGGAGGGTGAGAGAATTCACCAGAGACAAAGCGGGAAGCAGAACAGGCAGATCGGACCAAAGACACTGCTGAGGGGAGCAGCGGGTGAGGCAAGAGAGGTCTGCCGCACCATGTGGGTCTCTCCCTGGCCAGCCAGGAATCAAACCCACACTGCAGAGGCTGCAGACTCTGCAGTGAGGCACTCAACCCCCTGCACCACTGGGGAGGCCAACTTTGGTTGTTTCAAACGCTATCCTTTCTCTTCTCTCGCTCTGCACACTAATCTATTAAAGTTCCTTCACACTAAAAGTATCCTTGTCTTCTTGTGGTTGATGGCAGAACCAATTTGGAGCGGGCCAAGTACCCGTCAGTTTGCACACTGACAATATTATAGCTATAACTGAAATTATCTGCTTTAAATTATTTTAAAACTTTATTTGTCTGACTTTTGCTATCACATGTTTAATGGATAACATAAAACAAACAACTAAACTCACTTTTGTTATTTATAGTCATTAAAAATTACATTTCCATGTTCAAGACAGTATTCTAGATTTTTTTTTAGGGTAATGTGACAGGGCTCAGCAGTTTCTAAAAGCGTTGAAAATGAAGTGGTAGATAAGCCTGAAACTTAATGGTTGTGAGGTCCTTAAAAAACAATACTGTGTTTTTAACGGAGTTACACAGAGTGAGAAGCTAAAGCGGTTTTGCTTTCCCTGCATGTGTTTCTCACTTTGAAGTTAGAAAAGAAGCTCAGTCTGATTGAGCAAGGTGGGGGGTAAAGGACTTGCCAGGTTTTATACATGAAAGCAAATGCTTAGAAGTACAATTAAAAGGCAATGTACACTAAACTGTAGTGCCAACTGATGCCAGCCCTCATTCGAACTCACAAAGTGGAGTGTGAACATTCACAGCCCATGACTTTTGTCTCCTTGCCAGAAGCAGGGTCCTGAACACCAGGTTGCAGAGCTGTGGACCAGCAATGCGTCTTGCCAGTATTTGGTGGGCAGCATTTGGCCCCTGCAGCTCAGAGAGAGGCAGATTTTTAAGATGAAGGCAGTTTGTAAAACCTCATGGTCTTATTATGAGGTCAGAAGAAAACCATGTTTTAGGGAACCGTTCTGTCTCACATGATATTAATATAAGAAAAGTCATGAAAAATGAAAAGGATTTCCATGGCCAAATGTTTGAGAAATTGGGTCCTCTCTGGTGGGGCAAGGGGCTAAGTCTCAGCAATATGGAGCTCTTGGCAGCCACTACAGCATGAGTTCCATCTCTGGCCAGGGAGCTACCCACACAGCGCAGCAGACCTCTCCTGTCTTGTCCTCTGCTCCCCTCAACAGTGTATTTCAGTCAATCTGCCTGTTCTGCTCCCCACTCTGTCTCTGGTGAATCCTCTCACTCCCTCCCTGCCCTGCAACTCTGGCCTACACCCCAGCTCTTGTATGCATAAATAAATAAAATAAATCTTTAAAAAACATGTTTGAGAATTAATCAATGCTAAACAAGTCCTTCTTTGCTGAAGGACTTCTCCCAGGCTTTACTATATTAATGTGCATGGGAGGCTCCTAGTTTTGGGGCCTGAGAGCTCTCTTTAAAGAGAGATTTGTCAGGCTATGTGGCTGGATATTTGTTTTCCATGAGGCCCAGTCTGGGAATCAATGAGATAAAGTATTATTATCCCTGGGTGTAGAAGGAGTTAAGTCCATGCAGAATAGCTCACAAGTGGTAGAAAACTTGGGTCCTCCATCTCCTAATTGCATCTCTTCTCAGAGAGGGTCAGAAATCTAAGAAAAGATAAACTGTACCCTGAGTTCTTGGCAACATACATATCCTGAGGTTTTCTCCTAAAATGCTTTCGAAAGTATACACGCTTACTGTATTCAAAAGTAATGCAAGCATAGGACATGCAGGCCCACCCATCACAATTACCTGATACAAAGGCATGCAGATGCTGTCGATCCACTCCAGTTGCAACCGTGGCAGTTCATCTTTTCGATTCCGATCAAAAATAGCCTGAAACGGGAGAGGAGAACCCTGCTTTATCACTGGAGTATTTTACAGGTGCTGTGTCAAACACTTTGCCAAAATGATCCAATTTTTGCCAACTGAACACTTCACAAATCACAATCAGTCTTTACACATACTTTCTTTCCTTTTACCTATGATGAGAAATAAAGTATCTTCACCTCTTTTATGAGATTTGTAAGCGAATTTATTTGAACTTTATAGCACACAACTCCTTAGGGTCAAAATCTGTCTTCAGATATAGGTAACTGCCACTAAATCAAGTCATCAGGTCATTGGGAATTGGGTACAAGTCAAGGAGAAGAGGAGATGTTTTATTGCCACAAAAATAACACAGGCTTTTATTTTTGTAGTGAAAGAGGTGGGATAGAAGGGGCTACTTTGGAAAAGATCCTTAAAGGCAATTTAATTTTAAACTGATACTGTTTATTATTAATTTTTCAGGGTGAGGTGTTGGTATGTCAGTTCTGTGAGGTTTTTTTCAATAAGTTTCTGTCATTAAAATTTTCTAAATTTTTATTTATTGTTGCATGGACGATGGCTAGAGGTATTCACTCTCTCTTCATTCCCAGCTTTTAACTTTTATGATAGAATGATGTTTTGAAAATTGGGGTATAGTTTTGAGAGAATGCCATAGCAAAGGAAACAATCAATTGGACTTGGAGGGTAAAATGGATTCCTGGAACACTGCCAGGTCTACGCCCAGAGAATTTCCCCTCCTTTGTTCCCAGGGAATAAGGCCAGTGTCCAAGAAACCACTGACCTTGACCTACCACATTGCTTCCTCAGATAAAAGTGGCATCGCATCATCATGGCATTTATAAGTCATGAGGGTAAATTCAAATTGCTCCCTTGGTCCAGAGATGTTGAAAAATCCTGCATCCCACAGGCTGGTGAGTGAGGGTGGGTGTGGATGGGGCAGAAATCACTAGCTGCCAAGACTCAGATAGAGGGTGCTATTGAGGGAAATATCTGCAAATTCGGGAAGCCTCTACTTCCAAAGGAGTAATGCCCACTGTGTCTCCCAGGTGAAATGTTAAAGGAAGAATTTGGGAAGGCTGTGAATATGCTGGAGAAAGGGATGGTTCTTGTGAACTACATGAGTCTCAGTTCAAGATGTTCCTTTAAAAAATAGGAAGCTCTGTAACTCTCATTGCTCTCTGAAATTTTCTTATTTAATTATTCTTCCTGAAGCATCATATACTTCTTGTCTCTTTAATTTAGTGTTTTTCAGTATTTTCACAATTAGTAGTGCAACCATAGCATTTAGTAGTGCAACCATTTAGAACATTTTTATGACTCCCAAAAGAATACTACCAATTAGTCACTTCTCATTCACTCCCAAACCACCTAGACTTAGGGAAATACCCATCTACTTTGTGCTTCTACACATATGTCTGTTCTGCACATATCAAATGAATGGAATTATGTGATAGATGGTCTTTTGTGACTGACTTCGTTCATGTAGCATAATGTTTTCATGGCTTATCCCTGTAGTATGCATCAGCACTTATTTTTATTGCCAAATAATTATACATTGTATAAAACATGCTATATTTTATTTATCCATCCATCAATTGTTGGAAATTTGGGTTGTTTGCACTTCACAGTGATCATGAATAGTGCTGGTATGAACACTCAAGTACAAGTTTTTGGGTGGATTTTCTTTGCGGGATATACCTAGAGGTAGAGTTGTTGTGCCCTGTGTTAGTTCTAATGTTTAATGTTTTAAGGAATTGCCAAGCTGTTTTGTAAGCAGCTGCATCATTTTACATATAGTAATGTATGTATGAAGTTCCAGTTTCTCCTCATCTTTGGCAACACTTGTCATTGTCTGTTCTTTTGATTCTAGTCATATTAGTTGGTGTGAAACAGTATCTCACTATGGTTTTGATTTGCATTTCTCTGATGACTAATGATTTTGAGCATCATTTTATGTGCTTACTAATCATTTATACATATTCTTGGAGAAATGTCCATTCAGATGCTTTGTTTTGAAAATTGGGCATGTGACTTTCTATTATTGAGTTGAATAGTTTTTTATATATTCTAGATATAAGGTTCACATCAGATATATGATTTACAAATATTTTCTCCCATTCTGTAGGTTGTCTACTTTCTTTTTTTTTTCCAGATTTTTTTTTTAAATATTTATTTATTTATTTATTTATACAAGCACTGGGTACAGTCAGAAGGGCAGGAGGGTGAAAGAATTCACCAGAGCCAGAGCGGGGAGCAGAGAAGGCAGAAGGACCGAAGTACACTGCTGAGGGGAGCAGCTGGCGGCAGGAGAGGTCTGTGCGCCATGTGGGACCCTCCTCCGGTGGCTGGGGAGCAGCTGGGGATCCAACCGGCGCTGCAGAGGCTGTGGGTAGCTTCGCAACCCAGCGCTCAACCACTGTGCTCAACCACTGCGCCACTGGGAGGCCCCAGGTTGTCTACTTTCTTAACAGTGACTTTTGACAAAGTTTTAAGTTTTGATGAAATTAAATTTATCTTTTATCTCTGGTACTTTTAGTACTATATTTAAGATACCATTGCTAGTCTAACCAAATGATATCTATCTTGTTTTCCTCTCTAAGAGTTTTGTGGTTTTAGTGCTTACTTTTACTATGATCCATTTTGAGTTTATTTTGAGATATGATGAGAAGTATGGGTCAATGTCACTCATTTGCATGTGGAGAGCCCCTTGTCCCTGCAACAGTTATAAAAAAAAACTATACTCCCCCCCCACTGCCATTGAATTGTCTAGACACCCATGTTGAAAATTAGTTGACCATAAATGTAAAGATTCTTTTGTGTTTGATGAGTTGAATTGTGAAATAACACAGTGCCCTGTGCTTTCCCTTTACAGTATTTTGCATCTTGTAGCAGATTATGGGTGACTTTATTTAGCGTCTCTATCTCCCATCAGTTGACAAGCTTCTTGAGGGAAGGGGAGATGATGACTTGCTCATGGCTGTACACACAGTGCCCAGCTTCATGCTGGCTACCTGGAGGTGCTCAAGCATGTTTTGTTAACTGAATCACTGCTTCCAATAAAAACTGTTTGTTATCATAAAGTAATTCTGATGGATCTTTAGGATAATATTACCTGAAGGGGGATGCTGGACAATTTTCTTCCTAAATATCAAGGAATAATGGACACAGCAGGTGTCAGCTCTGGATGGATGCATTTCCAGGGATCTTTGGAAAGGGACTCGTGAGGGATACCCCTGCCACAGCAGCCAGGCCTTTTCGTCAGTTGTGTTAAGTAGCCTTTTGTGAGGAGAGGGTAGCACTGAGAGCTCCATTTCCACCAGAAATTAATTTCATTATGTCTTCAGAAAATGTCTAACCCAAGTCTCCAGACAAAAGCTTCTTAGTGTTACACCACTGCATCTCCAACTTGCCAATGCTGGCAGTTGACTCATATTTTTTCACTTAATTAAATGTCCAGAGGTATCGCTGCATTGTATATCTTTCAGAGGATGCCACTGCAACTGTTTTTTAAAGGAGGGAGAAGCTTTTATTTAAAAATGGAGATGAAGTTTATCCTCTGCACTGTTCTAGGTTTTACACATTAATTCTTTATCCCAATCTAGAAGCTTTATTTTTATAGTCAAGATTGAAGACACCACCAAAAACTAATAAAGAGATGTTTTGAAAACTGTATAAATAGATGTTGATATGGAAACTAAAATAATTGGTCAGTTATTTTAACTATGTAGTTCTGACTTTAAGCAGTCAAAACTCTTTAATCTAGGAATGAGTTCTGCTTTTTCTTGCTTTGAAATGGGAGCAAAGTAAGTTATCTAAAACTTGAAGATCTTATAAATATCTGCAAATTTCAAAACTCAGTTGATTTGAATCCTCAGAAAAAAGACATCCATGACACAACCCCTAAGCTTCACTGAATCCACCATTTTGTGCCAGGCTTTAAAATGCATTGCACTGTTCTTAGAGTCATTGGTTATATGTTTTTAGCAAGTCTTTCACTAAGAATAAAGAAGTTGCCACCTCCTTGGGAGTAGTGACTGAGGCATTTTATGCCTTTTGCATCTTGATGAGTAAAAATAGCATCATTCTGAATCTACAGTAAACACTCTCAAACAATATCTGAATGGATGAATCCAGTATAAATTGCATTTCTATTAGTACAACCTAGTTCCCCAGGTGAAGCTTTTCATTTTGCAGGCAAAGAAAAGAAACAGACTTGAAATGATTTGCTTTGGGGATTTTGGAAAGTTTGAAATAGGAAAATAAAATCTAGAATATCCATTATTTACTGCAGCTGTCTGTTCTAGCTTTTCAATACTAGACAGCTTGTCTTTAAGCTTTTTCTTTATTTCTATTTCAAAGTAACTATTGACCACATGTGAAATACCAGCAGTAAGCTTTAAGTTATTCACTTTCTACTCTACACACCCTCCCTTGTGTCTACTTGTGTCACTGTGGGTGTTCAGGAAACTTGTGGTAAGTTGCTCACTACTCTTAATCAGAAACCTGGGAATAAAAGTGTTTAGCATTTAAGTTTAATTAAAGTTTTAAACTTTCAGGAAGACTTTGCCATTTTGAAGTTGTGATTTGTAGTTATTTTTGAAAATGTTATTAAAGAGGGTAAATACATCATAATAAAAGAAAGGACTTACTGAAGGAGTGAGTTTGAGTTCTGATCTTTCCCGATCGCCTTGTTCGAAGAACTCACTAGTTACAAGTTCAGCCACCTGAAACACGTAAATATTGAATTTATGGTTATGTGTAATTTATCATAAAATTCAGAGGTTATTTCCAGTTTATGTGTATGGTGATTAGCCTCAATAAAGTTAATCATTCAAAGAGCTTATGAGGAAGTACTTTAACCTTTTGTGATTGAAGGTATTTACAGGATTTTATCAATGAAACTGATTTCCTTTTAATCAGTAGAACTTGGGCTTTGTATTTATAGATGCAGGACAACAGATGATCTCCCATAGCATAGATTTAATTTCTGGGATGTGGCACTAAGATCTTCAAAGTTGGAAATGTTCTTATACAGAAAAATGAAACAAATAATAATTTGTTATTGTTATTATATTACATAGTAACGCAACCAACTTTTATTATAATTTCTTTGTAGATTCTTTATTTTGTTACATAAATTTTTAAGCTTGGTTTCTTCTTGCCATCACAAAATCACCTTAACTGCCTCTTTAATATTTGTGTGCAGTCTGGAAGGAAAAGCCCACGGGGGGGCACTCACTTTGCTTCCTATTGTAGCAATCAGTCAAGGGGCAGCTTTACCAAATTTTACAAAATGTTCTGATATAGTTAAGTGTGATTTGGTCTTCTGGCTGTCTGAATCTGTGTACAAAAAGTGCAAATTCTAATTGGTACAAGCACAATGGAATGCTGTTTCACCATTCTAATCATAGAGCTATTTTGAAAGTGATGACCAGGGCCTCCCTGGTAGCGCAAGGGGTTAAGTCTAAGCAATATGAAGCAGTCCGCAGCCACTGCAGCACGAGTTTGATTTCTGGCCAGGAGCTGACCCACATGGCACAGCAGACCTCACCTGTCTTGCCCCCTGTTCCCCTCAGCAGTGTATTTCAGTAGATCCAACTGTTCTGCTCCCCACTCTGTCTCTGGTAAATCCTCTCCCCCTGCCCCCGCACCTTTGGCCTCCACCCCAGCTCTTGTATGCATAAATAAATAAAAATAAATCTTTAAAAAAAAATGATGACCACTTTTCAAAATTCATTATTACAAATGATCATTGGCTACTAATCATCAGCAAGTTGGAGTTTTTTGTTTTTGTTTTTTCTCGAAACCCTGTGCTTCCAAAGCTAGCTTATGAGAAGAAGCAAATTCATATAACAGGTAAGTGTTGAACAGACATTTTTAATAACACCACATTGTGTGCATCTAGGAAATCTCTGAGATGAACTAGTTGGATTTACATGATATTGGAAGAGCAGAAAAAAATCCTAGATAACTTGATGGTAAAATGATCTGGATTCCCAAACTAATTTTTCTTTATTCCAGGCTCTCATAAAGATGAGGTTCTTCAGTCTGGCAAAGGTTAGAATGGTCTAATTTTTGTCAAATGCACAGATGATCAAGTTTACCTAAGTATATCACTCAAGAGATTTTATCAATCATAAATCGTAACCATTAATAAAACTTAGACACAACATCAAGCGCATACACACACACATACACACCTGATAGTAGCAAATACTTAGTCATTTATAAATAAATAGAATGTCTATTTAGTTCAGATTTTAAACATTTCTAATAAGGAATCAGAGCCCCTTTTAAAAATTCAATTGCATAAAACTAGTTGAAAGAGATTCAAAAACTTTTCTAGGACTCAATTTACTTCTCTCCCCTCTGGTCTTAGCCATTACCTTTTCCTTTAGTATTCTAGGACTTGCTCCTCCATCCCTGGGCTTCCCTTAAAGAAGAAATGGTGCCCTGAAGCCTTGGCCCCATTTATTCTGTTCCCAGAACTCTCCCTCAAATTGCTCTAAGGTGGGTCTTTTGCACTAAAGAATGCAAATGTGTTCACCAGGTCACCCCAAGGAGGGAGTCCTGCCTGGGTCTATAGCCCCTGGAAGCAAAGAAATTAAAACAAAGTCCTGTCTTTGATCTTTCTAAAGTGATCCTGTGTATCTCCCCTGCGCTTCTTTCACAGTTCAACTTATACCACTGTTTCATTTGTACTTAAAAATCCAATCAGGAACATTAAGTGGTCCTGATTGAATTTTTTATTAAAGAAGGAAATTGAGATGCTAATCAGGCCTTGAGGGAATCACTGGGGAAACCCACATGCTTAGAGTCATGTTTGTAAAGCAGAAAAGTGTAATAGACACCAGTTAACAACACCATTCTGCGAGGGAATTAAAAAAAGATCGACATTCAGAAAATTAGAAATAGATTTTCAGTTTTAAAAGAAGGTTCTGTTGTTTTTGTCTTTTGTCCAAATGTTTCTTAAAATCATAGAAATGAATATGTTTTTGTAATTATCTTAATTTATTCAATTTGGAGATCTGTGGTCTGGACCTGATCACTGATGGAAACATTTAGAAAAATATAGATTTGTGCTTTATTTTCCTGAACTCTTGAGTTTATGCACGTGTCAGCAAAACTTCAAATCCTAACAATAAAATAATATTTACATCAGTGACAAAGAAACTACCTACAAGTGGCCATTAGACCTCTCTGGTCTGTGATCCTGTGTTGTTTCCTTTGTACTTTGTCCTGTCACTGTCCTGCCCCCAAGTGGGTTGCTGCTCCTTTAGTTCTTGACATGTATTCACTGGGGTTTCTGAAGGCTCTTCTCATCAGAACTAACTCCGCTCCCTCTCCAGTCTTGTGTGTTTCCCCCCAGGGCCCGTAACTTTCTCCTACTCTCTACCCCCAGCCTCGTGAAAGAGTCCTCTCTCTGCAGTCTATTTCCAAGCTTTACTATAAGGGAGGTCTGAGATCCCACACTGGGAAAATAAAGGGTTAGCAGAGATGTAGAAATAAGCTGCTCAGTCACACAGATTCTTCACAATTACCCATTATACAAATACTACTACAATGACTGTCTTATGTAATTTCAAACCAAAACTCAATTGCAGGAGAGTGTTATAGGCAAACTGCTAAATTTGAACTGAATTTTCAATGTGACAAAAAAATAAAGTAAGACAAAAATTGGTTTGAAAGTGAGGTACTGCTGTAAGAGAGAGGAGAAGAAAGAAGCGGAGGAGGAGAAAATGGAGGAGAAGGAAAGAAAAAAAAAATCCTTAAATATGTGGCATCAACTTGAGGCAAAACATAAATTAGTAAGGAAATGGTTGTTGAAGGTTATAAGGATGATGTTACACAGTGGCAAAATACTTTGTACAATTTTCACTGAAATAAAACAGATAAGGAATTTCATGAACTTATATCCTTAGGGGAAGAGGTTAGAAAACAAAATGTTAGTAGCATGTGATGGTTGCTATTGGCTGTGTTTTGCTAGGTATTATAAGTGAGTTCAGAAAAGGTTTGGCAGGTTTATAATCAGGAATAAAAGAGAATAGAGGAGTCACAAATTCAGGGTCTTGTAGAGATGGAAGATGAAGGTACTTCTTAACCCTCAAACTGTAAAAATAAAAATTGAGATACATTTTGAATGACCAAGACCCATCAAAACTCAGCCTTGCAGCCAGAATCAAACTGAAGGTATGGCAAGTACACCATAGTTAAAAACTCTGACTGAATTACATGGTACACAAAAATATCCTTTCAAGTGGACAAAATGGCCCAGAGAAATGATTTAACTATTTAGGTCTCTCACTAGCATGAGTTTGACCCAAAGTACTAGGAATTAGGTCATGAAAGAGAATAAAGAGGTACACGTGCTATGTTTCTTTGCTCCCAATAATAAGGAAGCAAAGAAATACAGAAGATCTAAGTTTATAGACAACAGAACTGTGAATGTGTTATTGGCAAATGGCAATGATTAGAATCTAAAACATAAGAAGTTGACTGAATGTTTCAGACGGTTTTGATGACAAAAACCTGTGCATCTGTGACTATTTTAAAATAAAAAGAAGACTTGGATACTCAACTTTTTTAGTTGGGAAACAGGCCACCCTTCAGACATGACCAAGGAGAGTAATGGAAAAGGAATAATTTTCCAAGTTAGATCTAAAGACCATGGGAAATAATCAATCATGGAGCATCTCTCAGAGAATCAGGTACCCTCCCTCACCCCCCAATAAATAGAGGGTCCACAGTAAATGTCTGGTGGAATTTTGGAATTAATGTGGATTGTTAACTGCTAAATGTTGCATTAGCTCCTTTCTGAATGAGAGTATTATTGAGTATGTTATGGTTTTCATGTATGTTAGATGCTACATCTTGGATATGTGTTGATCTTTCATTTGCAGCTAGAGCTGATGTAGAATAGAGACTAGCACAGATCACTCAGACATTCTAGACTTCAAGCTTGATACAATGACTGATGGAACATTTGGGTCATCTCCTTTGGGGAGAGGATGATTCTATTGTGCTTACAGGAAGGAAAGTGAATCACATTTGTGGTGACTGGAAGGGCAGACAATGGCATTAATTAATATTTCTAACTTGCTTCTTCTGGGTATGTGAAAGGGTTATACTTCCTGGTTGGGTGGGATCTTATGACAAGTTATAACCAATGAATTGTTGGGAGGCATTTAATTGCCAGTGTAAGACTTGCCAGAGCCTCTTACTGAATGACCTGGACAGTCCAGCCCCATTTCAAAATGACCTCTTTGTCGGTGCCACTGACCCTGGATGCACACTTCTGTGAACAATTTGTTGGCATAAGTCACTGAGATTTTGGGTTTAGATATAACATAGCCTATTGTGCTGACACATTTGCATCATTAAAAAATTTTGATTGATGCATCCTGTGTAAGAAACCATAAAGGACTCTGAAGAATGAAGAATTTGTAGCCCCAAATGCTAGGATTTGAATATCTAGCTCTACTATTCTGCACCTGGTGACCTCAGGCAACTTATCCTTTCTCAGATTCATTTTCCCCCTTTGTGAAACAGGGATAACAACTGTATTGATTTCGTAAGGCTGCCCTAAATTGCCACAAATTTGGTGGCTTAAAACAACAAGAATTTAGTTTCTTGTAATTCTGGAAGTTAGAAGTTCAACATCAATTCACTGGACAGAAATCAAGTTGTTGGGAGGACTGTGCTTCCTCTGGAGACTCCAGAGGAGAATCTGATCTTTGCCTTGCTCAGCCTCTGATGGCTGCCAGCTTTCTTTTGCTTGTGGCCACATTACTCTACTCTGCCTTATCTTCACTTTGTCTTCTTTTCTGGACATGTAAGCTCCCTGTGCCTTTCTCTTATAAGCACACTTGTGATCAGATTTAGGGTTCATCTGGATAATACAGGATGATGATGATGGTATGCTTGATGATTCTTAATCATATCTGCAAAGATTCTTTTCCTTCTAAGGTAATGGTTACAGTTTCCAGAAATTAGGATGTGATATATTTGAGTTTCCATTGTTAACTGTGCCTATCTCAAAGGGAATCTTAAGGATTAAATGAGGTAATGCATATAAAGCAGTCATTTAATATTAGTTATTTAGTCAATAAAAGTTACTTATAATATTAGTCATTTACTAAACAAATACTTGTTGTTATATGAATCTTATATTCTCTAAAATTGTTCTGTCTTAAGATACCAAGTTATTATTTTAGATCCCATAGTCTACCCAGTAGGTACCTCATGAAACTTAAAGATGATTAACCTCCAAATACTATCGGTTATCAAGGATCTTAAGTTGGGCAGTCACAGAACTGAAAACTATTCCTGTTCTAGAACTGACACTTTTTGGCAGCAAAACCAGGCATGTTTAATTTAATAAATTTAATTGAATATTGCACACTTTGATCAAAGAGCTCTCTGATCTTTAAACAGTCTTTAGAAAAATAGAATTTTCTTTTTACTTCCTTTATTTTTCAGATGTAAGAAACTGGACCTTGTATTAAACATGATTACCTATTCAAAAACATTTTTTAAAGTCTTGCCTTAAGAAATGGCCAAAGTATTATTTGGATTTAGTGTATTAAAATAAAAAACAAACAAACAAGCAATACCACCTTAGAGACAGAAATACTATTACACAGTAGAAGCATGATAAAGACTATGCAATAAAATATGTCATGCTTAAGCCTCCTGCTATTTTTTATACCATGTTAATACTGATGCAAATTGACTATGGTTTCGGAACCTGGTAGTCAGAGCTCTGGGAATATTGCCCCCCCACCCGCTTTCCCTCCACTGCTGAGCCCTGCCATTAATCACCACTTGCCTGTCTCGAGATCTCCCACGGTTTGGTCACGGCTCCAAGGTCACAGGCTGTCATTAACATTGATCTGAAAAACAGAACCATACAAAACAGCCTGAATAATCTTTTGTTGCATTCCTAAACAAACCCATCCTAGATACATAAATAAATAAAATGGAAAGAAGGCTAGCTCACATCTTCTTTTCCTCAACAAGGGACACTCTGTTTATGGTCCCGTGTTTAGCATGTCTGTCACGTGGCCACACTGCTTGGGAAGACAAAGCTTGCACATACCCTGGGGTGGCCCTTTTGTTTTGTCTACAGCAGATCAAGGAAGGCAAAGCACTCCCTTCTCTATACCTGAGCTAAGCAAGCTCCTCTCAGAATAGTTTGTAGTGGACAATGCTTTTGATTTTTGATTATCAGCAAGGGAATCAGTGTAAAATACTATATGGAGCTGATGAATCTACTTACCAATTTATTGCTCATTTATGGGATGGAAGAAAGTTTATACAAAAAGGCGAGGCTCACGCCACCTTAGCATCTGCTCTGTGGAGCTAAGATTTATAGGGGAAAGTCACACTTTCCTTCCAGTTTACTACCTGGCTGCAACCATGCTTTATATGCATTATGAAGAAGAAACATATTCAGTTACAACTTTCATTAATTTGGGCACATAAGAAAGCACAGGAGAGATGTGAATCCAGTTTTTGAGCAGCAGATTTCTATTGCGTTTTACTAGAAATCATACCGACATAAAAACAGGGAAACAATTCAAATTGCAGATAGCTGTGGTGCTTATCATTTGATATGACAGGAGGAGGGAAATAAGGCATACTCTGTCCAAAATCTGCTTTCTTTGTATGGAAACCAGCAGGGTGTGATGAAAAGCAGTAAAGGGTCTGAGCTGGGAAAGCACATCGTGGCTGACTCTTTTGGGAGAAAGGGTGTGCTGTTAAAGGTCAGAGGGCTGTCCTGATGTCAGGTGTTAACATTTATACCCAGCAGATTCCAGTGCTGGGGAAACATGTCTGCTGCCCAGATGGCAGAGCAAGCCTTGATGGTGGTGGGGCTTGTGTAACTTCCCCAGGAAGCTCCTCGTGGGAAGAAGGAGAGGGCAGATAACAATAGGTCATTCAGAATACAACCAGCAGCCCTCCAAGTCAGGCAGCATCTAACAGCAGACACCCCTGCGCTGTGCACTAGCTAGGGAGAGACACATCTGTCTGGCCGTCATATTTGATCTTCTGTCACAAGTCTCTACAGTGCTCACTGTATGTCTGCTTCTGTATATATAATAGCGACTAAAGTCCAACCAAATGAATCCTTGGCACAACTCTCAGTGATAGGTGCTATTGCTCCTGTCTTCCTGAGAGGTAAATGGAAGAGGTAAATGGAGGTAAATTAGCAACAGACTCAGGAGTCTGTACTTATCACAAGGCTACCAGGCCCTTCATGCTACACTCCGACATCTCATTTTGGGTTCTGCTGGTACCAGAGTGGGAGGCTGTAGGTAATGCATTGCAATTTGCATTCCCTCTCCTGTAGAGGAAATAATCTGTGAGGTTGCCTATTTGTACCATAACTTGGATAATTACTTAGCTTCCATCTGCTTAATAATTCAAAGCTTACTTCTCAAATTCATATGGCCACTAATATGTCAATCAACAAGTTTATTGAGAATCTGCTAGATGCTCAAATGCTGATAACTCTTTTTTTTTTAAAGATTTATTTATTTATGCATACAAGAACTGGGGTACAGGTCACAGGTTTGGGGGGCAGTGAGAGGATTCACCAGAGACAGAGTGGGGAGCAGAACAGGCAGCTTGACTGAGGGGAGCAGCGAGTGGGGGACTGAACTCAGGCTGTTGTGGTGGTAGCACTAAGCCTTAACCCCTAAGCTTAACCCCAGGGAGGGCACCACCTGTTTTATTTTTGAGCACCACATAATTCAAGTCCAATTTACAGATCGGTGGTGCCAGTTCACTCAGTGCTATTGAAGGAATGAATGAAAGGCTGAGGAAGACATGCTATTTCTATCCTCAGTGAGGTATAGGAAGAAGAGGGGATTCCTAGAGTATCTGATCATGTTTATCAGCCCCTCTTCTCCTTTATTTCAATAATGACCTTGTCATAATTGTTTTTTTATTTATTCTCTAGTTTTAAAATAATTAACAGATTAGAAGGATTACATTCAAGTTTTAAAGTTATATATTCAAATTCAGTAAAAGATTTCATGTATGAAGTGATTTTTTCACTTATCAGACAAAAATATTACTCCTTGCAGTTTGTACTGTTTCACTATTTTAAATCTTAAACATGAATAAAAACCCCAAAACTGGTCACAGAAAATGACAGAATTGAAGTAACGCAAGTTATGTTTCTTCTTCTTTAGCATCATTGTACTATCGTTGTTTACTCTGAATATACTGCTTGAAAGCAGGAATGTGATGTTCTACAGGGTTTGCAGAGGAAGTCTATACCCAGAGCGAGTGTAGAAGGTTCCAAACCATTAGGAACTTACTCGAGAGTGTACCATGTCCCTTGTGTCAGGGGCTGACCATGTAAATGGGCATTCTTGAAATTAGCTTAATGTACAACATATGCACAATGAAAGGATAAATAATAACGTGCTAATTTGAAGCTTTTGTATCAATTATTTTGGTACTCAACAGAAATTTCAACAATTGTTTAGAATTTAGACCAACAAATGATTTTTTCAGGAGGGAAAGCATCTCATCACTGACATTGTTTAGATTTACAGGCACATGGCAAGGATAAGCAGACCAACTCTTAGTTGATTTTATTACTGTTTTCAAATTCTCTAAGTGCTCTCAGAGCTTCCCTCCTGCCCCCTGCCCTTGTGTACATGGCCAGAATCTAACCATAAATGCAGGAGAGAGGGCAAAGCAGGGGGGTAGTGTGGAGCCCCTGGAGAACTTCTATTTTACATACTGTGCTTCCAGATAAAATTCTCCTTAAAGAAGAGGTTCCCTGCTCCCAAAATGTAAAAATGACTGCAGGGAAACATCCAGGCGGAGATGCAGAATGAATGCCAGCATTTTAGAGTTTGTGCTCAGAAGTCAGACCCCAGAAACCAGGTATTGTATTAAGAAGAATTAGGATTGGAAACCTAACACACCCCCCACCCCCCTCCAGTGAGGGATGGGGGATAAGAGACTATAAAAAATAGGCCCTTGGGGGTAGTTAGTTTTAAAGGATAGCAGGAGAGGAGGTAGGGCTGGAGAAGGACAAAAAGGAGATAGAAGAATCAGAAGAAAGAAAATTCAGAAGAGCATGACTGCACCATTCAAGACAAGAGAGTTTTAAGAAAGGAAAGGCCAACAACACAGGAGCTGTGAGGAGATCAAGGAAGCGGAATAAAACAAAGGTCATAGGATTTTATCCTTGGCTGTGATTGGTGAATTTCAGGAGCAGCCATCACATTTCTTAGGCTAAATTCCTTAGCAGAGGAATGGCTAAATACTTTGTGGTCAGCCCATACTTTGGAGCACTATGCAACACAAAAAGATGCCAAAGTATGGGCATAGAAAGAATTTCAAGGCATCTAACTGAGTGAACAAATAAATTCAGACTGATAAATAAATATATAATTTACTTTAAAACAAATCAATCCATACTAAATGGTATGTTTCTTAAGGGAATATACGGTCTGGAAAGACACAGCACACAGATAACGGAGGGTGGCTGTTCGAACGTGTGGGAAATGGAGGTGGAGCTCCAAGATTCGGGGGTTTATATGTGATGTTTAAACTTGTTGCAAAAAAAAACATGCTCCTGTAATTACTTGTAGAATTAAAATTTATTTACAATGAAAGAAATTGCCCTGCAAGAAGTTAGGAGGCATGTTGAATGAAGTTTGGCATTGAAGGGAGGGGGAAAACTATAATTGGATCTTGAGGCATTTTTCAGGGATGACTGTTTTTAACTGAGGGGATGGAAGTATATTTTTAGGCTGAGAAAGGGCATGATGGGAAAAAAAAGCAACCCAGAGTTTGAAAATGCAAGTCAAAGGAGTATACTTGATATAGCGAGGTGGGAGTGGGGGCTGGGGGCGGTGCTGGGAATGGAATTAGGACACAAGAGGAAGTGTTAGTCTTGAAGGAATCCTTTCCTATTCTCCACACACAATAGAAAGGATGAAGAAAAGATCTGTAAAGATGATACAGAGAAATATTAATGCAGAAACACAGAGAAATAGAGGGCTCTCAGTGACAAGGCCTCAGGAAAGTGTGAGGGAGATGAGCTGCACAGGGAAGGAGGCAGGCAGAGTTTCACCTATGGTTATAGGCGAGGACCCTGCTGGGCAAGGGGTTTCCTTGGGGTAGAGCAGGCACAGTGAGTCCATAAGCTTTCCTCCTAAGCTTCCTCAGAGCTTTCCTAATAATATTCAGAGGAAGGGCGCAGATGACCTGGTATGGGTAAGGTGGGGATAGTGCTAAGGTGTGGTGTGAGAAAGGAATAGGGCAGCTCCTGGCATGATGTTATTTCATTCAACATCATTTTAATATGAAGTTGGCAAGGGGAAAAAAAGCAGATTCCTGGCTGGGGTCAGAGTTGTGTGGAGTGTGCACGTTCTCTCCATGTCTGCGAGGGTTTTGCCCAGTACTTGGTTTTTTATCTCCCACATCACAACAGCGTACACGTTAGGCTCATGACATTTCTCCCATGTCCCAGTCTGAGTGTGTGTGTGTCTTTGTGTGTGTGCACGCACACGTGCATGTGCTGCCTGTGATGGAAGGACTTCCTGTCCTGGGTTGACTCCTCCCTTGAGCCCTGAGCTGCCAGGATAGGTTCTGGCCACTCAGGACTCTGAACCGGAACAAGCTGGGTAGAAAAAGAATACGTGAATAATGAATACAAATGATTGTTTAATATTATAAATGTTTTAAGTTTTTATTTAGAAGTGATATTTTTGTGCTCAGAAATATGCCCTAGGAACATAGCTCTTGTTTTTATCAATTAGTCTATGGCAAAATTGGTTTTGGTATACCTCATTTTGCTTCAGGAAAGTTTTGAAACCCCCGTCGGTGTTATGTAAGGACTTACTGCAGTGTCTGACCATCTGGAAGGGCTGCAGTAACATGATGCTTTGCTGCTGTCCTTTTTAAACAACAGGGAAGAAGTTCTGTGAACAGGCTACAATAGACTCATTGCCACCGCCAGAATTGTTCTGATGAGTTTCTATCTACAACGCCTACTGTTTTATAAAAACAAGTTCTTTGTACATCCGTTCTCTGATGTTCAAGAACCCTATTCATCCTCAACTTGCACCCCTACCTCTTTTCCCCCACAGGAAAAGAAAAAGTCATGATTTACTGAAGCTGAACCAATTGAACATCATTTTCTAATTTAAAGACAAATTTATGGAGGGGGGCAAAAATATAACTTAGAAGACAAAAACACATTATCTTTCCTCTAATTATTTGACTAATCTCTGAATGTTTTTAATGTAATTTAGGATTTATTACTTTAAAAATCACATCTGTGCTTTTAGCACTGTCAGAAAAGTGTTGCTAAATCTTCAAATAATGAAGAAACACAAAAACAAGAACTCTTTCTTACCGAAATATATCACGATGACTTTTGATGTTCCAATCATATTCTCCTTTACTGACAAGTTCAAAGAATTCAGTTCTCCTCCTGCACAAAATCAAATGAAGAAAGAAAGAAAAAAAAAAGGCAATGAAATTTCTCAGTCTGTGGGGTGACATAAACACATTTATGGGAAAATATAAGACCACCTGAACCAAGTAACTTAATATTTGAAATCATGAGACTAAAGCGCTATCAAAATAAATCACTTTTTAAAAAATGTTGAGGCTTCAAGAAAAAGCCACAATCATTTCTGAATGTATTTACAACAGAGGAGATTATTGAGCCATAAAACAGAAAAACAATGTGGTCTGCATTTAGGATTACTTGCTGTGAAGCCCTTAAGACATTTATTGAAAGTCAGAGAAGGGAGTCAAGGACAAATAAAAAGTGGGAACAGTTTTGGGTTGTTCTTGTATCATCCAACACAGAACTGAGCTGTATGATGATCCAAGATAAGATAAACCCCCAGCAGTATATTCAGGACAAATTCTTTTTTCTAGATAAGAAAATAACTATTTCACTATTTTAATGCTTAAACACATAGGCTTTGGAATCAGAAATAACTATTTAAACAATGATTCAATCACCTACTTGCTGTGCAACTTTGGGAAGTTAATTAAAGCTTCTGAACCTCAAGTTTCTAATCTCTAATTTGGAGATTATATTTGCTAGCTCACAGAGGTATCATGAGGATAAATGAGGTGAAATGTGCAAAGCATTTAGCAAAGTGTCTGCATATTTTGAGTGCTCAATGCACACACATGCGGATATACATTTGGAGCTATATAGACACAGAAAAGACAAGAAAAGATATCTAAATAAGAAAAATTTATTTCTGTTTCAAAACTTTAACCTAGTGATAGGACTTCTCATTTTTACAGTGAAAAAGAAGAAAAACAAATCACCATTTTGATTCTTTAAGAATAATTTTCCAAGGTTTCACATTCTTGGCACTGTCTAATGATAGAATAAAGGCCTGATAATTTCTCAAAGTGCATCCCATAAAATGCCAGGCTTAGGAGGTGCTCCATGCAAAGGGATTTCCTGGTCAAGTGGGTTGAAGAAAAGGTGCCTGTAATATACTTCTCTCCGAGAGTCACCACCCACATGGCCTCTTAGTGGCTGAGAATTACTGAGATAGGAAAGCCTGTGTAACCGTACTTAACCACAGAATGCTATCGCATTGATGTCTTAAAGAATACTTTGGAAGATACTTGGTAAGTATCCACCATTTATGGTGGAAATCAGAGTAGGATCTTAGACACTCAGTACTGACCCACTTTAGTTTGGGGAGGGGAAAGGATGTGCTGCTGAGTGCAACTGGCTCCTCTGTTTCTGGCCTGGAGTGCCCACTGCCAGCTAACCCACAATATGGACTACTTGTCATCTGGTCAGACTGACTTCTCAACTTACCTATAAGTGTGTGTGTGTGGGTGGGGGGGTTGGTCAAAAAGACAAATAAGTGTCTCACTTCCTTATTTGGTATAGGTCCTAGCATTAAAGAGTAACAGCAAATGCGATGGATCTATCTTGTACGATTGATGGGAGAATTATATGAAATGACTTATGTAAGACACTTAGCAGAGTGTATGGCACATAGTCATAGGTGCTCAGTAAGGATTAGCTACTGTTATGAAATGCCAAAGAGTTGAGTTCATTGGCCCAAGGTTTTACACCAATTGGGTGGCAGAGCTGGGATATAAATGCAACCTGTTGAAATAACTGTTGCTCCAAGCCCAGTGTGTCCTCAGAGCAGAGAGAAAGGTACTTGGCTTAGCTTGGAGTGTCATGGAAGATCTCAGTCATCATCTCTGTCATCACATGCCCATGTGTGTCATTTCAAGCCTCTAAGTTATCTTATCACTAGAATGCAAGATACTTGAGGAAAAAGATTTGGGATACTCGGTGACTGCAACAGTGCCTGACATGCAGAAGGGGCTCAGTGAATATGTGTTAAATTGATGTGCATGAAAATGATTATCTCAGAAGCCTATTCATTTTAAAAGGTAACTCCACAGTCTCTGGTTTCATCTAGATTCTAATTGTTCTGGAGTCTTAACAGCTGCCATTTAGCTGCCACATTGAACCAAATGGATAACATAACATGAGGGAAATTTAAGAATATCTTTCCTGGCCAATGGCTGACCCTCTCCACTATTGTTAAGTCTACCGGGGTATGTTCGCTACATGAGAAATAACATCATTAATGCAGAATGGAGGCATATTAACTAGGTGGCTAGCTCAATTCATAAAGGAATTTCTTTTAAATGCAAATCTATGATATGACAACTGAATGGCACCGTAAGAATAAATTCCCCCATAATGGAAATTTTAATAGCTAGAATTGCTGGTGTGAAGGTCTTAAATCAACTGAGCCCCAAATCGGTCATGTGCATCAGATCGTCATATTATAAGAAAGCTAAATGCCACTGCATCAGGACGAACAGAATATCCTAGTGGATGATGGATAGAGGAGGAGTGGAGAAATCTCTTCATAGGGCACAGAAAAATGTGGTGCACTGATTTTATGTTTCCTATACTGACAGAGTATGGCAATTTCTTAATAGGTTCTATTTATTCTGGTGTCCCAGGGTTTGGCTATGGCCTTAGAAGACAACAAGAGACTTCCTTCATTAGTTTTGTCAAAATAAATGTGAGAAAAGTCTAGTCACTCCTGAAACTATGTACATCATGTATCTACTAATAGAGTTAGCCACAGAAATAGTCAAACAAATGCTTTAAAGTTTAAACCAAAGTGCATTTTAAGTTTCTAAAAAGTTCCTGAAAATTAGGCAGCTTAAAAGATCAGGAGATGGGGTAATAATTTTCCTAAGGCTGCAAAAAGGATTTTGAAGTGATGATATGTGAAGGTAACACATATTTATTACACATATTTAATATACTTAAAAGGTATAAAAATGACATCAGATTTAGAGAATATATCTATCCACCACTTTACAGTCCTGTTGAGACCCGCATGCATCTCTTCACTGTTGATTCCGAATTTAAATTGCCTAATTATAAAATTATCTATTTATTTGGAAGATTAAGTCTTCAAGATTAAGATTAAGTCTTAACTAGATTTATGATTTATTTTTCAGGTTGATCAAAATGATGGTGTAATTGAAACTGGGCTTATCCATAGTCACACAATGCTGTTTTCATTTGGTGATTGTTACAAAAAAACCAAACAACTCATTATAAATGTATTTTATATATACACACAAATGAACAAAAATTCCAGAATGGTACTTAAACATATATGACTTAAACAAAAATTCTGTTTGTATAATGATTGTGGAGATTTCCTTCAATATTAAGAAAAGTTGTTCTTTCATGTAGAAGGAAATAAAATACTATGGTATCAACTGTTCTTTTCTGATAAAGGCAGCCATTACAGGAAGGTCTTATTTATTTTTTCAAAGTGAACAGTGTGACAGATGCCAAAAAAAAAAAAAACAAAAACAAACACCAACAACTCTCCTAGTGCTGCCTCAAAATGAACACATCAAATTTGATTTTCATTAGAATGTAGTTATTTCTTCACAAATAAAACCAAGACCCATATATACACATATACAATTTTTTAGCTCATCTGGAGAAGAATGCCAAGTTAGTTTTTCTTCATAATAATTCTAATTTGAGGACACTCCACATTTGCCTCTCTTGCCACCACCCAGCCTGCCTCACCAGAATCTTTTCATTTCATGAGAAACATTAATTCTCTACAACTGTCTATGGCACCAATTATTTGTTCAGGATCAAGATCTCTAGTTTGTCAGTAGCATCTCATTTCTTCTTTAATTTGCTATCATCAGAAGAGTTTCTTTTTGTATCATCTTTTTCTTGACCAGCTTTCTGAGAATTCAGAAATGCTTCACTCAACTCTGGGCAATCTAAATTTCCTTCATGTTCCCAAGTGTCGTCAACATCTGTCAATCCTTTTTACTTCAGGAAATACTGCACCTTTCCCACCACTACATGTCAGTCCAGTGCTTTCCCCACCATGAATTCTTCACACTCTGCCTCTTCAATTTTTTTACCCTTTCCATTGTGTCTTCTTTCCCTCCTCTTTGCAATGTAATTTTATTGGAGGCCAATTTTAAATTGCGGCCTTGGAAAACTATTGTTCACTGCCCTTGGCAGCCCCAGGTCACGGGTCTGAGGTGTCTCTGACCAGCGCGCCTCAAGCTCTTTCCTTTTCACTTCTGTGTGGGATTCCAAGTACTAGCACAGTCACTTAATGCTTTAGACAACAAGCTACGTATATGGTAGTGGTCCTGGGAGGCTAAACCATAGTACCAAGCTGTGCAGGCGCTATGCCTCTAGGCTTGTGTAATTACACTCTATGGTGTTTGCACAAGGACAAACTTGCCCAACATTGCATTTTGGGTAGCCTATGTCTGTTAAGTGATGCATGATGATGGTTTATTTACCCATTTCCGGAGAATGAAATATCAGGTTTGTGATTTTGTTGTTTTTTGTTATAGTACATACAAAAACGCTATGAGCAATCTTACACATGTCTCCTTGTCAGTTTGTGGGTGATTTTGCTCTCTGTCTCTCTGCTAGTTTGCCTGTCTTTATAGACATACACTTATGTATGTATGTATGTATGTAAAATTGGTGGGTCATAGAGTAATTTCTATGATTAATTTGGGTTTTCATTTGTAATTGTATACTGTTAGAGGCATATGAGACCTTTGAGAAAAATCTGTTGTAATTCCCTCATTTCACAGATGAGGAAACTCAAGGTAAAGGAAGGTGAAGTGATTTTTCCAGAGTTCCAGAGAAGTTAGGGCAGATATAGGTAGATTCCAAGTCCCCAGTTTCCCACTTCAGGTCTCTGAGATTATAATCTTTGTATAAGTACCGTGCTGACTGATTGTACCACTGGAACATGGAGGTCATCTTTGTAAACTGTGTGTAGTGTGACTTTGTGACCAGATAGCTTACCTGTTGTGAGAAGAACCACCCTTGTGAGATGTAATGAGGGTGCTGCTGTACCAAGGAAGTGCCAAGGACCGAGTACCTGAGCAGGCATC